TTATAGAGCTATTTCAGCTATCAGAATCCGCTCCTATTCGCGCACTCGCTCGGGCGATAGTACGAGGAGGAAAAACTGTTCAGAGCAAGCTGGATAATACGGACGTTGCCTCAAGTTTGGAAAAATTCCGAAAGCTGTACGAAGAAGAATATCAAAAAGCAATGAAGAAGCAGCTCAAGTGACGTGTATGCTGTCTCGAAATAGTATGGGTAGTGAACAAAGAATTTTGTGCATTCAGTGTAAATAACATCCAAGTATAACAAGATAGACATGAAGTGGCCGCCAGTTGCCCTTATTTATATCACACAAGCTAGTAATAAAAATTTATTTTCTTTTTAATTATGTACATCTTGAAGCACTAATCTTTCCATCGATGACCACAATCTGCATTTGCACAACGATAAAATATAGTCATCGGTTCATCGGCTGATCGCGTCTGTATCTGCATGAAGTATGCACGGTCATTTGAACATTTTGGACATCTCTCATTTGTCACCTGTAAAATCAACGCATAAGCAACAACAGTTACATCAAAATCTCAACAATAAATATATTCTGAACATTCATTTAGAGTTTGTGAAGAGTAGGATAGCCTTGAACACATTCGAGGCGAAGGCCATTTCGCCCAGAACTCACGTTCGTCGTTGTTTTTGGCTTATTTTTACAATTTTTTCTTCGTATTGATGTGTTAATTGTGTAAATGTGCGCTAAAATATGCGCGTGCTATCGCAATTCTGTACGAATGACCGAAAACAGGGGTTTCCGCGTGTACTCCCGGAAGTACACGCCGCTTCGAAGGTGTTAATCAACCATTCACGTTATTCGAAGCCTTGCAGTAAGCAGTAGTGAAGGAACCTTTCACTATCCAGAATGGCATGTACAAATTGGATCACTACTTCTCATCAGGAAGACTAAATGGCGGTATCAGTACGACCCTCCCCCAAACTTTCTCCTCCTGCACGACCCCTCTCGGCGGCGCTCATCGTTCACTTTTCGTCGGCGTGTTGAGCGTTCTGGGCGAAAAGAGAAGTATAGGTATGGATCTAGCCTAGACAACACCAGCATCTGAAGCGAAACACTAAAAACGCTAGATCGATACCTATACTTTCTTTTTCGCCCGAAACGCTCGCAACCCTTGGACGCCGACGAAAAGTATGAACGCATCATTAAGCTTAACCACCAAACTACCGACGAGTGTGCTGTATATTTGATGGAGTAGTTATACAGTCATTGAGTTCGTATGAGTCCTGGCTAATGAGCTCAGAACCTTCACTTCTTTTGAGGGCTAAATAACCGCATAATATTCAGTACATTAGGAAGGTATATTCCCATCATCGAATTCATAGGTGGTACGGGATAACCTCCTAAGGCACCGTTCAGACTTCGCTTCGACGCGCCGCGTGCCAGCGCAGTGCCATTGCAACCGCGCGCGATGCTACAGACAGGAGCACAGCCATATATCAATCGCTGCAGACCGCTACTGCTTTAGGAATATGAGGGAGTAGGAGGGTACGCGCTGTCAAATTCCACAGTCTAACATCGATCGGTACAGACCACCACTGTTTTGGCAGAGTACAGAAAAATAGAAGTACCACAGCGTGTGATCAGCCAACGCGCAACCTTCTGTTCTCCCATACTCCCTCAGAGCTCTAGCGGCCGACGATCAATACAATCGTATGACTATGTTCTCGTCCACAGCATTACAGCGGTGTTGCAATGGCAGTCCCATCACAGGCTACAGCACGTTATTGCACGTTGGAGCTCGTCATGGCGAAGCCTGGACGCTGCATCATGGAAACTTTCCAACAATCTGCGACAGGGGTTGAACCCAACCTGCTCAATAAAAAAACGGTGAGCCGTTTTTGGGTACTATCTAACAGGAAGCATTCCAACATTGCATAGGTGAGAGTGGCGGGAGAGGTACAGCTTACCACGCGTGCAGTATGGGAGTCCGATCACGAAGGATGGGAGTCTCGACTGGCGCGGCCAGGCGAAGCGCTTTCCTTTTCCCTGTGGCCAAAAAGGGGTACAGAGCTCGTCAGGAACGATAACATTGCTGTACATTGATCACCCCCATAAGTCACCGTATTGGCCTACCCCATTCTGCAAATTACTTCGACTATGTACGAAGGTGGAGTTGGAGATACCATTCAACCGACGGCCAAAGCTTTATTTTATCCATGAGCGAGTTAAAG